TACATGTTAAATATGATGGTTACATGAGTCACGTACTTTTAATCAGCATGAGAAGCGATCAGCGATAAAACCCCAATAAAAGCTTGTTTTGGATTGCGAAGGGTTTTCTTCTTCTTGAACAGTAACTCTGAAATATGTAATACAAAGCGATAATTACAGACCACTAATCGATTTTTTTTTATTCCCGTCACACCAAACATGCTCGCCCTTTCAGCCATGGGGGCGTTATTATGTGATGGTCAATCCCACTATTCGTTGGTAAAAAGAGTAGCCCAAGATTTGGCGGTGGGTGGTGATGACTAACTGCCTTTCCTTTAGTCTTACACTGCTAAATTAGGGACGGCTAGCGCAGATAGCCCTCGTGTAGCTTTGTGTGAAATTCATAACAAACAAACAGTTTTTTTTAATGTTATCCACTGTGAATTCTAAAACACACATTGATATCAGTACCTATTGTGTATGTAACATAACTTTATTCCTGTCGAATAGTTTGTTCTTGTGTCCATAGAAAATTAAACACATTTTTGGGCTACATGATATGCCAGGCATTATATTTGTCTAAATGATTATATTTTTTTGGCAGATACTTCATTAATTTATTGCACTTGTGAATTGTAATATAAATAAGGCGTAATGTCTTGGTTGGAGTACAAGACAAATAAGATCAAGAACCTTTCAGACTTTCAAAGGGGCATGATAATAGAAGCTCATCCATCAGGACCTCTAGAATAAATTCATGAGTACTAACTGCCAGTTAGTGACCAAGATAAAAGTCAATTGGCTAATTTCCTCAATAAATATCTGGATTCAACTATCTTCAACAATAGAATGTAAAAACACTTTACAAAACTATAACAGCCAGTCTAAATAATTTTTCGTATTCAAACAGGTGTTTAGAGCGCAAACGTTTGACGATGGATGGCTAGAAGTATGAAATTAGGTTTAATGGATCATGATTCACTTTTTCCTGTACTGGTTTTAGAATAAAAGCATGGCGAAAACCACTTTAAGCTCTTGAAAAAACAACCAACTAGGCTCTTGACGTGTGCTTATGCCGTTCCGATGATGCAAGTTGCTGAACTTGGTGTAATGGTGTGGTGAACGTTCCTGTAGTAGTGACTAGGATCTTTAATTCATTTAGAAGAGCGAATAACAGTGTGCTCGAGCGTTGTTACCTATTCATATCAACCCTGCCC